CCACACAATTTAAAAAAAAAAAAAAAAAAAAAAAAAAAAAAAACTAAAAACAAAAACCGATGTAATGATGAAAAATTGGTCTAAAATTCTAGCGGACGCCAAATTGTTCGCGGACCCCCTGCGGACCCTTTTGACCTGGCGTTCTACTGTACAATAAAGCCGGGCACACTGCGTCGGCCTCAAAGTCCACGGAGGCGGTGCGCGACGGATGGTTTTCAACAATCCGCTCACTGCTGACGTGACGGCCGGGTGACCGACACAGCGTGCACCTAAGAGTAGAATGCTATATCATAATATGCAAAACTGCCAAGACGCATGTTGCACGCAAATGCGTCGCTAATAATGTTAATTTGACGAGGTGTTTACTGGGCGTTCCCCATTTCATAATTTGTTTATTTTTACACCCAGACATGTTGGCGATTTAGGGAATCTGGAACGAGATGGATCTGGGTCTGTGTCCACCAATATGACTGATGGTCTGGCATCCTTGTGGGGATATAATACGATATTTGGAAGAGCTTTTGTAGTAAGTACCGTACCGTTTGTTTATTTGTAATAAGTTTTATTTAATTGTGTAGCGAATAGAAATAATGATGATTCGATAGAGATCGCAACGATGTGTTCGCCCAACGGATCGTTGACGATCCGCTCATGTTGCCATCGACAAACAGCAGACGGCGTCGCGTCAAGCGCTTATAGAAAGTAGTGTGTTCCTCTGTCTTTATAGTTTATCATTCTATCCAACCCGCATATAAATTATTGGAAATCCAAAAATATGTGCAGGTAGGTCTAATCACCTCACGAGGTCAGCTAAGAATATAAAACTTAAAATATCCGAATATGGTGCTTTAAAGGAGAGAAGCCGGTTCTAGAGGATTATCATTAATCATTTATCTGTTTCGAGTGTATCAGACAAAGGAGCTTTCAAATCAATGTAGATTTAAAAAAAAAACAAACAAAAAAACAAGCAGAAAGTAGGCTTATTGGAATTATAATATAGCAGGTGAGACACAGATCAAACATAATAATCTTAGATATAAAATCCCGGTACCTCGCAATCTATTCACAACTATTTATGGAAATAGTGTGTGACCAATAAGAATTTAATATAATATACCAAAGCCTAGTGCGGGTTGCGTCGGCAGCCAACGTATTAAGTTGGACTCCGTATGTTTGTTCTGTTTAGCATCGCATTAAAAATTCGTACGGCCGTCGTACGACGAATCCAACTCCGCCTCTCGTGAGCTCTAGACGACGCGACGCCGTCTGCTGATGTTGGTGGCAGTCTGAACGGATCGACATTAAAAACGATCCGTTGCCCGGGCGTCGTGACGTTGCGTTAATCGCGTCGGGCGATTCTATGGCCCGGCTTATAACCTGGGCACTCACCCGACGGTCGTCACCCGACCCTATCCCATAAAATTATCGCAACGCGACCAGACGCGCACAATAGATAATTTTTGTAATGAAGATCCGCTCAGCAAACTGCCTCTTACTAGGTGAGTCAAATGGCCGAGCGGTTAAAGCAGGGTCATTGTAACCATAGCCAACAATATCCGCGCGGTCGGCTCGTTCTGGTGGTGGAACAAGTATTCTCTGATAACGTAGGCCCAGTGTACACAAATGCACATGTGCACTTTAAAGAACCCAATACATCTTTCGAGACGAGTGGGGGTGGGGAGGGTTTACCCCTGTGTACTTGTCCACTCGGCCCTTGTCGAGGACAGATAAAAGTGCGCCGGTTTACCGGCTGCAGAGGACATGAAGTGACCTTCAGGGGAGGAGAAATTATTGAAGAGTGCAACATCTAGTCCACTGCGCCTTTGATAAACCGTTGAATTGGCGCATTATAAATGTTTGTTGTTATTATTTTTACAATTACCAGACAGCGGAGATGGATTCGTCGTGTATGACAGTCATACCGCGCAGTATGTGCCCGTGACGACACTGTGGAATAGATCGTTTTAAACGACGATCCTCTCCAACATTCAGCAGACTGACAGCAAAGCGCTCATGCAGAGCGCGAAAAAATGTGTCGGCAACGGTCGGCATTGCTTTTTTTTCACTAGTAATTTTTTTATTTTTGTTTATTTTGTAGATTCATGCAGATGAGGACGACCTCGGAAAAGGCGGCACTGAGGATAGCCTGACTACCGGAAATGCTGGCTCGAGGTTGGCCTGTTGTGTCATTGGTCGTGCGTCTGAAGAAGTTTGGAATTGATAGATTTCAAAAGAGCATCTTGTACATTATTCACTTATAAAATGCAAGCAAAAATACATTTATTGTCTGTTGTCCAAACAAGAGAACAAAATTCTGCGAACGAAAAGGCTATTCGTTTCAGGAATGTTGATATAAAAGAAAGAAAAACAGACCACTGGGTGATAAAAAGTAACATTTTATTAAGTTACATATATTAACATAGTTATTCTTATTACTGTTAGATTAATTGTACTATGCACTCTACTAAACTTATAGGCCTATCTATATACTTAGAAGAAAGACAACTTAACAAATAGCAAAAATTGTGGAAAGCTACGGGAATTAGGAAAACGTTCTTAAGCATGCCAAAGATGGCAAAATGCTAATGATTTGCCTTATCAACAATAAACAATATACAACGAAGCATTTAAAACGCTAATTTAACTAATACTATTAAGAGAAATAACAAATTGAAAATATTATGGATTTTAATTAAATTAAGACGAAATCATGAATAAAAGACTTATGATTAAGACTTTTGGGGAATGATAACGACTCTTTCTTCTTCGAGATCGTTATGTTGATCACTGCCTTCTTGTGTATGTTGCGCGTGCGCATCAGCTTGTCTGGCGTCCCTCCTCTGACGTGTCTCACAGTCGAATCGTGACTCTTCCTTCTCGGTTTTCTCGTCTTCTTCTGAGTGATTCTCATCGTCCCATCGTTGGCCTCTCTCTTGGGTTTCGGCAGTTTCGTATTGTCTGTTTCGATAGTAATAACCGTAACGTGTGTCATCTTGTTTACGATAAAATTCGTTGTCTCGTCGATCTCTTCTGTAATTTCCCCTACCCCTTCCAAATGGGCGGTTGAACTGGTTTTTGTAGTATTCATAGTAGCCGACCACTTCCTTTGATTCTTCATTATAACGTCGCTCCCGTTCAGTATTCCTATTTCTGTAGCCGTCGTAACGACGATCATGTTGTCGAGAAGCCCAGCTACCTCTCTGATGCCCACCTCCATTCGACTGTTGGTAGTGTATCCTTTCGCTGAGGTCGCTGATGTTCGCTTTTTGAACATTACAATCGTCAAAGAGTAGCTGGTGGCAGTTGGTGAGGTGGTCGATCTTTGAGTTGAGGTATGGAATCCACTGACCCCACTGAGTCTCCAGGGCACACAGACGTTCGCCTAAGTTGTAAACATCTATGACCATATGCTGGTTCGTCGTAATCACTGGCACAGATGAAGCACTCCAGTTCTGATTAGCAGCAACACCCCAGCATACTTCTAAAGAAAAATTTAAGCGAACATTAATATTAAAATTTATTACATCTATAATACGATGATACAAAGCAGGGCATTCACTGCGCTGGACGGTCGTCGACTGACGTTATTCTATGATCATTTATGACGATCCGTTCAGACTGCTACCGACAATCAGCAGACGCCTTCGTATCGTCTGCGCTCACAGGAAGTGGAGCTGGATTCGTCGGCCGACAGTCGTACGACGCAGTGAGTGCCCAGCTTATATTTTTAAAATAGAGGAAGGAACGTCGACTAACCACCATCGGCTGTGGAATACTGCACGTATTGCGTAGGTTGGGCATTGTTGGCGGAAACACCAGCTGTCCCGGACAAAACTTGTGGCTCAATGTCTTGTTTCGGTCCGTCGGTGGTCTGTATGGTTGCAGCATCTTCAGCACTTTTGTTCTTGACGAGGGCTTCTGTTTGGTCACTTTCAGTAGAATTTGTTAAAGATTTCGCAGCGTCCGGCGGATTGTCTGCAGACCCGGCAGCTGATTTAGGCTTCAGTGTTTGTTGAGTCTCCGTTTGTGTGTCCAATGTGGTCTTCGTGACATTCGTTGGATCGTTTTGTTCCTTTTGGGCATCATTACCGGTGTCAATGTTGCTTGGTGATTCGACAGAAGTAGTAGTGGTTGAGGAATTCTTCGTACCATTAACTTCTTTAACCAAAGTGTCGTCAATCGAATCAGCCCAGTTGAAAGTAGGCTGATCTTTAAACTTTGATAAACCCATCTGAGTGTAAACCATACCGTATTATGTTCAATTTACTTTAGGCCTATTTGGACATGAAAATTTTAGCACAACATATAATCTGGACATAATTAAATAAATAACAACAATTTAATTAACAATATCTAAAACAATATAAATAGTTCAATGTAATTCAAGCAGCGTCTTTTCCAATTATAATTCCTCAAAAGTATTTAATTTTATATACAAATGTTCTAGCAATGATCTTTAACTGTACAGTTTTAAAGGGTCTGGTCCAAAGATCCACCTGGCCTACACCTACTGGAGTAGTAGGCCTGAGTACTTTATTTTGTAACTGAAAATATTATTCAGAGAAAATAAAATTATGCATAATGCGATTGCTATTTTCCTTAAAAGTACAGTGGCACACCTTTCCATCAATCTTGATATCTCTTACGTTCTCAGTTTCAAAACTATTTTGATCGCTAACATCATCTGACAAACATTGGCGAGTCATGTCCTCTGCAGCAACGAATACGTACTCGTCCTCTGCGCTAGCCACCAGATTGGAACCCTCCTCTGTTGCAGGAGCAGTAGTGTTTTCAGTATATGGTATAGCAGCTAGTGTTTCCTCGTCAATTGTTGGTAGCGACAGGCAATTACCATCGCCGTCTTCTTTGTCGCTACCACTCGAGTCGCCCAGACCGACGTCAACCTCTTTGCCATCTTCGTTGTCTTCATCCCCGGAGCCTGCTGCATTGTTATTGCTCCAATTCTGTTATAAATGAATTAGAGCATAAAGCATTGAAATATGTGAAACGCAAAAAAAAAAAATAAATAAAAAAAAAAAATAAATAAATAATTAAATGAAATAAAACAAAAGTGACTCCAAATAGAGAAAGTGAGGTCATATTTATTCAACTTTTCGACATTATTAAGTCATCATCGGGAATAACGTATTTAAAAACACGGGCAGAGTAAGTAACAAACATGCTAAAGTATGAATATAATTAATGGACCATTATTTATTAAGGTTTTTAAATGAATTCTTATAGTTAGAAATGTTTAATTTTGAATCAATAAGATGTTTATTGAATCCTGTAAGAATTAAGCATAGGCCTATTCCTATTTATACCTAGGCCTAGTCATTTTTGCATTCCTATCACTTATTCCTATAAAATATTTTATGGGAAATTTAAAAATTAAAATAGAAATTTTAATATAGGACAAAATATTCCTGTTGAATCTTTTGTAATTCTCTTAAATCCTATAAGAATACCATATTTTCGTAAGGGTTTCCCATTTGGAGTTACTTTTGTTTTATTTTAAAACTTTTAATTTTAAAACTAGCGTTTCTAAAAAAAATTGTACTGAACCACGCTTTTTTTTTTCATACGGCGAAAAGTCTGTTTTTTGGCAAAGTAAAGTAATAATATATTTTGGCCTCACGGAATTTAACTGAAGTTCCAAGTACGGAGTAAGAAGTGAGTCTTCCTTCTTAAGTTTCGATCCACCACCAAGCTCGGTCAGGTCGTCTTCTAATCCAAATTTGAATGGTTCACTCGTTGCAATGATCCTTCCACTCTTTCGAGAGTCTCCATAGACAAACTGGAATTTCTCACCTGATGATGGCATCAAGACATCGTCTGGTATAGGAGTGAGGTCAAACTTCATGTGGAAAAGTACAGACCATCTGTAACGGACACATTCCTTTGGCACGGACTGAAGACTCAAGCAATCCTGAAGACTTTTACCAGAGAGTGGTAAAATTCCGACAACATTCCGTTCCAAGACTCTCGATCGTTGAACACGGCATTGCACTACGACTGCCTTTCGGATGTTATACGTACGACGTATGTGCTCAAACTCCACTTCTTGTCTCCTCTTTCGATCGTGACATGCTGTCTTCTCGGGGTGATGTAAAACCATGCCTAATCATCAGATATTTGGCGCAATAGAAAACAAACAATGCCCGTTGATGTTCAAGCAAGCAGTCAGATTAGTCAAATGTTTATGTTTGATTCTTTTTTTCATTTCGACAGACAATAGAACGCACATTATTAAGAACATAGGAATGATAAACAAAAACACGCGTATACCATCACGCTCACGCGTCTCCTAGCCACGGTTGCTATTGATACAGTAGGCATAGCAATGACCTCTTTATACTTTGCAATCGTTACAACCGATGGTACATGGATGGTACATACTAACCTGATAATTTGACACACTCACGCCACAAAATGATGAACAAAGTAAACAATAAAAATAGGCTTTTACATAATCCAATGGAATCATAGGACTTACGTAAAAGTGCATTTAAACATTTAAATGGGCCTAAACTATACATTTACCTATAATAAATATAAATGACACATCATTAACGATAGTTGATTAAATGTTTTCATTATTATGGTAAGCATTAAGCTAATTATTTTACTTATAATAACAGATCAAATGTCATGTAAATGTTTTTATAACATATACCTAAAGTATATGTTATAAAAATATGTGGTTTTGAACATAAAATGTTGCGCGAGTACTCTATTAATAGAGGTTATGCACAGTACCGGATGATGATGATGATGATGATGATGATAATGAAAATAGAGTTTGTACCATTAAAGTAAAGGTCATGTCATATTGGTATAAATGAACTGATACTTTGTCAGAAGAAATATAAATATAAATACTGCAATAATAAACAAAAAATGATTTAAAATGAAAACAATATTATCTTTTTAAAACCGATCAAAACAAACAATATACCTGTCATCTGGATTGAAAAACAATATGAAGAGAACCAAGTTACAATTGTAACTTTATTTCCATAAGGGCAATAAAAAACTGAATAGAAAAACGTAAAAACTAAAAGGCAACTTGAAACACTTGTCTTTCAAAAATACATGTTTGCTGCCCCCATTTAAATACCACTTGTGTCAAAGGTTATGTTGTAAAAATAATATCTGAAGAAGAGGGAAATTTGATCAGTGCTCATAGATATTTCGGACAAGGCCATCTTTTCCGATAGCTAAATCAAGGTAAGTGTCTGTAAACTGTAAATTATCGTTTAATGACTTGCATGCCACTTTGTCTAACATTTCAACTAATAAATTTGAATCATAGAACGAAATACTGCAGCACTGGTTACGAGTACAGCAAGGCACGGCGCGGGTAAAAAGCACGTCTCCCTCTGACAGTTGATTTGTTTTGCTTACCATCTAGCTAGCTAGACCTTTGCCCGCCCTAGGTCATTCACCTGGTCCTTTTGAATAAAAGACGATGTAAAGATGATGGAAAACAAAGAAAATGTTGAAAATTTAGCGTTTCATTGATATTGCAATTGAAAAGTTGTTTGAATTGTAACTAAGCCCTAGTCTAGACTGAGTTCTTGGAGAAATACAAATATGTTTTTTTAACCACTGGCTGACACTGTTGACAAACACGTATTACCAAACATGAAATTAAGTCAAATCAATAGGCCTAGGGGCCTATATTATACTTGCAACATGGATAACACAATACAGTATTGAATTTAGTAAGTACAGCATAAACAGTACAACATTAGTGTTGTGCACTTCCTTTAAGTGCCCACACAGAGCGCAGAAGAAATCGTTGCCATTGGAGGCAGATTCAGCTGTAGGCCTAGGCTGTTTGATATGGACATTTTGTAAGTGCCCTGCAAGATGCCTGGCTCTTGGGATCATGCCACAAATGCTATTGCACCGTGTCATTGATAGAAATTTATCAAAAGTATGCCTATTACGTAGTTGTAAGCATCTGGATATGGTTGAGTGGGCAGTTTCAACCTAGGTCGTACTTTCGCCAACTGGGGTGTTACTTTATTTTCAGTTTGATATTTGATTTAATTCATAGGCACAGGCATTACCCCTTCAACATGGTCAAACCCAACCCATGTATCGCATACTAATGTAGAATGGGGCTTTAGCTTAAAATCAAAGTAATATTTATTCATCCAAAGAAAATTGCATTGCTCATATACACTTTTTTAAATATCAGAAGTTAAAATAAACAATTACAAAATTATCAAAATGTTATTAAAAATTTGTTAACCAAGAATAAATCCATGTAAACCCGTAAATACAAGTAAAATAAAAAAAAAAAATTTATAACATTAAAAACAGTGGACAAGTTTTCTATGGAAGAAAACCTATTGATTTACATATTATTTTTGTAATGATAATGGATATTAAGCTGTTGGCCAAGATGCTTGCCTCCAATGCATAGTCCTATGTTTAAAATCCTATTTGATGCTTGATTTTTTTTATAGCAACAACAATAATTTCATTTCCAAAGTCTTGAATAAGACATAGTTTATTAAATTAATTTATATTATTTATTTAATTTAAGATGGCTCTGGAATATCAGGATACTGAAAAGATCAGTTTCTTGAAGATTTTTTAAAATTATATTAATAATAATAATAACTTTTCTGTGCCTACATACACACTTATACAATAATATGTATTGAAACACAAAGATAATACTATATTATACAACTTTAAAAATAAAAAAGAACATAATTTTCAAACATCAATCACATAAATTCAGATGCAAAGGATAGAAAAATATCGATCATAAGTAGGCCCTGTAGTACAGTTTTGAGAAAGAATTTTGAAAACAAAATGTCTATTTTACATATTCATTACCAAAATTAAATATTGTATACATATGCATACCAGCTTTGGACTATACGTATGATATACATCTGGCAGGTTGCCAACTGATAAATTTAACTAAAATGATTTATATAAAGGCAGCACATTGCCTAAAATAATGAATATTAAAGTGACATGAAATTAAATCAAATTGTTTAAGTTGGTCGGTTTCAAATTGGCATTTTACATAAAACAGACAAATATGCGTTTAGTCTTGTCAATTCTTGTTCGAGTAGATGTCACGGACAGCTGAATATCAAACTATCAGTGCTCAACAACACTTTGCCTCTAGTCACTATTTCCTTTCAATGTGCACAAAGAAAAAGTTTTTTAAACTTTACACTGATCCTTCCTATCTGTAGGACAACTGAATGATGTGTGCATCATTATGCACCTCCAGGTGTTTAAATATCGCAAGATATTGAATAATAATAAGTTAATATTAACTGTGTTCACTAATAAATTAAGTTTACAAATTTCATTTGAAATCATAGTACACTGGGAATTCTCATGATTTTGTGGGGTTTTTTTTTTTTGCTATCTTTTGCTATTAGACTTTCATATTTTATTTTTCAATCATTCTTTAAATTCTGTCTTCAGCATATTTGATTGTAATTAAATATAGTAATTGATTCATAACTTTTACCTGAGGATGGAAGATACTTTTCTTCCATCCTCCATATATAATAATATTTTTTTAATATTAATAATACCAATAATGATAAAAATAATAAAATTGTACTACAAGTTTGCTGTAGATAAACTACTGTTTTATGTGATACAATTTTTCATGTTATTCTATGCTAAGAGATTTAACATTACATAACATTTAACATTACATAACATTTAACATAACTCTGGTTAAAATTATAAGATTATATTAGTTATTACATACTCAATGAACTTAATTGTGATAAATGTTTGGTCTTCCAAAAGGCTGTAAAATACTGTACAAAGCAAATACTTGAAGCAAAAAGGAAACATAAGTAATTAATGCACAGCTTTATCTTCTAGAACAGGAAACACCCTACCCAAAAATAATGCTAGACTAAAATTTTAAAAACCACACAGTATGTAATATTTAAAACAATGAATTGCAAATTAAAATGATTTAAGTACTTCGCTGGATGTCAGTAGAGCTTGAAACAATGTACTTGAAAGTGAAACTTATCTTGGAAATATCACTCGTTAACAAACAGTAGTCTCTCTAGTTACTAACAATTACCATTTACCAGTACCATACCAAAATACCCAACAATTACCATTTACCAGTACCATACCAAAATACCCAACAATTACCATTTACTAGTACCATACCAAAATACCCAACAATTACCATTTACCAGTACCATACCAAAATATCCAACAATTACCATTTATCAGTACCATACCAAAATACCCATTAATTACTATTTACCCGCACCACACATGGACGAGTACCAGTACCATACCAACATACCCAACAAATACCATTTAATAATAATAATAATAATAATAGGCCTATTTATTTAGTAAAGTACAATCTTGCCAGGAAAAATGAATAGGTATAAACCAAAACAGAATCACTGCTCTTACTGCTCATCACATACAATATGTAATAAATTGAAATATTTACCAGCACCGCAATGTACAAGTACCAGTACCATACCAAAATACCCAACAATTACCATTTACCAGCACGACAATATACAAGTACCAGTACCATAATGTTAGAAGTGAAGGAGGTTGCCAGTGTTCTCCCAATTGAACAATTTTTACTGGTAAATCTGTCCATATAAAGCCAGCTAAATGTGGTATTGCCACTTTTAAGTGGAGTTCAATGGCTTCAAAAAATAATTCATAGGCCTATCATAGCCAAGTCCTAAACTGGAATGATGTTCATTTATTGAAAGAAGGCCAGCTTAGGCCTAATAAGTGCTTTTTTTTATTTACCGACACACAATTTTTACTGGTTTGTCAGTTATATCTGGTAAAATTAACGGCTAAAAAGACTGGAAGAATACTGGTTACACCATTTATGTTATGCCTCCATGGTTGCATACTCATTGTGAATAGAATGAATCTAATGACCTAGAGCTTTCGCTCATTTCTCCCAGTTTTTAAATACTGTATTAAAAAAATATATCTCATTAGCTGTTCCCAATTATTTTGTCAACCACAGCTTCATTGTCTTTGAGAATTCATTTGTACAACCTGTGTATATATTTGGGTATATTTTATTGTAAAAAAGAAGCTCACATACAAAACAGTCTGTTGCAACATATGCTGAATTGAAAGACTGAGTAAAATTACAAAGATATAAAATTGGCAATTAAAAATCACATATGTGTACAACATATCAACAGTTTCTTTCTTCAGAATAGTAACATAGTTTTTTTTTAGTGCAGTTTAAGTCTGACCATTGTGGCATGCAGAGTCATAGTTAGGCCAAGTAAAAAAAAAAACATGTTTCTCGTCACATAATTTTGAAAAAGGAGGATGAGGCCCCTTTTTTTTTTTTTTTTTTACCTCCGTCAAATTCTCCGCTCGCAAAGCTGGCGTACAAATCTGACGTCAGGTCAGGATTCCGAACGGTCCGAGCATACAGAGGCTTTAAAATCTTTGTTTTTGTGCATATTTGAACGCACACCAGCCCTGCACTTATGGAATCTTTGATAAAAAGATTTATATGAAATATGGTCGAAAATAAAAAAAAACTTCGAATGAAATGCAATCGTAAAATATTATTTTTCCTCAAGAGTCGACACACGAGCGAGAGGGGAAGACCTGAATAAAATAGTGTTTGACAGTCACACATGTGTACCAGATATCTTTGGCAATAGCATTGACATGTTATTTATAGTGATAAATTACCTGCAATATTTATGATATTGGAAATGATTTAAATCCATGTACACTCATTAAATAATAAAATTTCAATGACAATTACAAATTAGCTTATTAACAATAAATTTATTTTGCTTCATCCGAATTCAAGAAAATATCCTATATATATTTTATTGTTGAATATACAAATAATTAAGAACATGTTTAATTAAAGCACACACTTCTTTTCTTTTAAATTAATAATACAAAAGAATAATCGCATCCAACAGTAAATATATGGTGGCAGTACCAATTTGTGGGGGGGGGGGGGGGCGTTTAGATGGGTACAGTATCCTGTATTACAAATGGTCTGCCCCTTATTTCTGTATCTCATTTCCTTGGTGTTTAAAAGTTTGTCTTTAAGTTCTAGTCTGTTACCCTTCCTCTCCATGATGATAGGTCATGTACTAAATGTCAGTACCTGTTAGTTGGCAAGACTAGTCTACGTGCAAAGTTTTTAGCCCTGCTTTAAGCATGGCTGACTGTGTACAAACGTG